AAATCCTTTGCAGGGCTATTTGGATCTATCCCATGTGTGCAGCATACACTGACCAGCCTGAGACCTGGGTGGTAATTTATGCCACAGTTCAGTTCTCAAAGTATGTCGGCAGTTAAGACTGAGATCCACATATGTACATCTCAGGGATAAACCTATAAGCATAAACAACTTTAAGGGGTTGCTTTCCTGAGCTCTTTCCACTCTGCAATCATCCAAGTATTCTTGGTTGCCTGGGGCTCTCCAGTCACAGCCAGAAAGCTAAGGCTTTATTCACCTGCATTTCCTGCAACTATGCCAAACAACAGAAACACAAAAGGGGGTGGGGGTGGGAGACCAATGAGGATTCACCCCATTCTCCTGGAACTACAACACCCTTAATCAGAGAAGAAGGTTCAACTCTCTGCATTTTGGGTGTGTCCTCCTTGTTCTTGCCACAGTTCTTAGAGACTGGGGAGAATGAGAACAGAGAAAAGAACTGAAACAAAAAAGAAAGAAAAAAGGGGGGGAGGGGGAGATGCTCACTCTCTCTGAGAGGGAGAAGACCCCTTTCCCACTAAAGCAAAAACTAGACAGCTTCTTGAGCTCTCTCTGACTACATTAATGCCACCTTCTAGATTTGGGGCAGCACTGAGTTCAGGCTTCTGCTGAATATTAAGACGCACACCTGAAAAGCGAAATGCTACAAGGCTGGGAAAAGACTGACCAAGAAGCTGTATGCTACAGAATTCTAAGTATTCTCACAGGGTTGAAAGATAGTCAAGTGCCAGTCAGGCAGAGTAATGAATCTCATTGAACACCTAGGATTTTCATTACAGACTCCAGAGAATCATGTGCCCTGTAAGATCTCTGGGACTGGTGAATATAACGGATTTCACTCCCGTGAGTAGGTTATACTATATGACATAGCTGACTTTAAGGAAGGGAGATTATCTTTCATGGTCCTGACCCATTAGTGAGTCCTTAAAAGGGACCAGGCCCTTCCTGGCAAGAGATTCAAAGCATAAGGATTCAATGCTTGAGAAATTCTCTGTTTCCAAATTTAAAAATGAATAGAGCCACATAGCCAGGTCCTGAAAAATGCCTCTAGGAACTGAGAACAGTCCCCAGCCAACAGCCAGCAAGGAAATGAGAGCTTCAGTCTTACAACTTCAAGGAACTGAACTTGGCCAATAACTTGAACCATCTTTGAAATAGATTCTTCCCCAGAGCCTTCAGGAAGGAATGCAGCCCAACACCTGGATTTCAATCTTGTAAGACCATAAGCAAAAAACCCAGCCATACCATGCTCAGATTTCTGACCAACAGAAATGTGAGCTAATAAACAGGTGTCGTTTTAAGCTCCCTAGGTTTGTGGTAATTTGTTACACAGCAATAGAAAACAAATTTAAGGGGCTACTATGAACTTAATGCCAATAACTTTAACAACTTAAAACAAATTCTTCAAAAGACAAAAATTACCAGACACAAAAGACAGAAAATCTGACTATCTATATATCCATTAAAAAATCATATATCTAATTAAAAACCTTCCCACAAAGAAAACTCCAAGCTCAGATGGCTTAGAGTAAATACTACCAAATATTTAAGGAAGAAATAATACCAATCCTAAATAAACTTGTTCAGAAAACTGAGCAGGGGAAGGTTTCTCAAGTCAAGGCCAACATTAGCCCGATACCAAAATCAGAGAAAACCATTACAGATAAAGAAAAGTAGAGACCACTATTCCCCACGAGCATAGACATAAAAATCCATAACAAAATAATAATAAGTTGAATCTAGCACTTTATAAAAAGGCTACTACATCTTCCCCAAGTGGGGCATATTTCAGAAATGCAACATTGGTTTCAACTCTTGAAAATCAATCAAATTAACAGACTAAAATATAAACACCATATGATCATCTCAAAAAATACAGAAAAAGCATTTGACAAAGTGTAACCCTTTTTTATCCTTTTCAGAATAAAAACTCTCAGCAAAGTAGGAAGAAAAGAGAATTTCTTGAATAGAGGGTATCTATGAAAAATTTACAGCTAACATTATAATTAAAGTTGAAAGACTGAATGCTTTCTTTTAAGATGAAGAATAAAACAAGGATGTCTACTCTGATGGTTAATTTCATGTGTCAACTTGATTGGGCCCTGGGGTGTCCAGATATTCTGGGTGTTTTCTGATAAGATTAACACTTAAACAGTAGACTGACTGAAGCAGATTGCCCTCCCTAACATGGCTGACCCTAATCCAATCAGTTGAAGAATTGAATAGAACAAAAAGGCTCACCCTCCCCAGAGTAAGAAAGAATTCTTCCTGCCTGAATGTCTAACTGAAACATCAGCTCTTCCTGGGTCTTAAGCTGCTGGCCTTCAATAGGAACTACAGAAAACGCTTTCCTGGTTCTCAGGACTTCAGACTCAGTCTAGAACTAAACTATCAGCTCTCCTGGTTCTCCAGTTTGCCAGCTAACCCTGCAGATTATGGGACTTCACCAACTCCATAACCATGTGAGCCAATTCTTTAAATAAACGCACACATACACACCCTATTGGTTCTGTTTATTTCTCCAGAGAATCCTGACTAATACATCCACTCTCATCACTTCTATTTAATACTGAAGGTCCTAGCCAGAAACAAGATTGGAAAGGAAAAAGTAAAGCTGTCCCCCCGACCACTATTTTTTTTTTCCAGAGATCTCTTCAATGTTGTACTGGAGCTCCTGTGTAGCCATTAAAAAGAAGGAGGTGTGGGGGTGGGCAAAATGAATGATGGGAGTCAAAAGGCACAAACTTCCAGTTATAAAAATAAATAAGTCATGGGGATGTAATATACATCATGGCAACTGTAGTTAATACTGTATTGCATATTTGGAAGTTGCTAAGAGAGTAAATGTTAAAAGTTCTCATCATAAGAAAAAAAATTCTGTTAACTATCTATAGTGACAGATGTTAACTAGACTTATTATGGTGATCATTTCACAATATATACAAATATTAAATCAGTATATTGTACACTTGAAACTAATGTAATGCTATATGTCAATTATACCTCAATAAAAAAAGAAAATAGGGGCCGGCCCCATGGCGCAGCGGTTAAGTGCGCGCGCTCTGCTGCTGGTGGCCTGGGTTCGGATCCCAGGTGCGCAGTGATGCACTGCTTGTCAGGCCATGCTTTGGTGGTGTCCCACATAAAGTGGAGGAAGATGGGCATGGATGTTAGCCCAGGGCCAGTCTTCCTCAGCAAAAAAAGAGGAGGATTGGCATGGATGTTAGCTCTGGGCTGATCTTCCTCACAAAAAAAGAAAAAAAGAAAAAAGAAAATAAAAGAATAAGGTGTATCTAAAGAAAGTCATGTCATAACAGCATTAACTCACTTAAATTCAACTACATAACCCCACCGGAAAAAGAAAAGAATGGGGAAGGGAGGGATACTTAAACAGTACATATCATTAAGCACATTACTCCTAAGAACATATAACCACAAACAATAGAATCAATCAGCTTGAAAAAGCTGATGGAAGTTGGCAAAACCTATGAAATAAAATGTCACTGACAAAAAAATAATTTCTTCCATTACTGACAAAGAAATAAAGCATAATTCTCAAGAAAATAAAGCATATAGTGAAGAATTTTTTGGTCTGCTTCAGGAAGAAATTGAGTAATAACAAAAGACTGTAGAGAAATAATAACTACAAAAGAATTAAATAACTGATAAATTATCCACAGAAGACAAATACAATAACCTATAAATGGGAAGAACAAGTAGAGATTCCCATTTTTACAATGTAAATTACACATCTATACACAGAAATTACTGAACAAAATCATATATATATATTATACTCCATATGACTCGAAGGTAGATTTGTCTATATGTGATTTCTGCCTTTAGGAATATAACACCATCCCTTTTTTGTTTAAAGAACCAACCTATCAACAAAATAAACACAACCAAAACCCCTTCAATCCCCAAACCGTATGTTCATATATATTCGTATAGAGATGGAGGTCACTCAGAAGGCTCATTGACCTTGAATTCCATATAATGGAGAAGAGATCAGTAACTTTTTCTTTAATCACGTTTGGACTTTTTTACGTGTTGCAACAATCATGTTATAGTTTTGCAATCGGAAAATAATAAAGGAAAATTTAAATTAAAGGAAAAAATAGAATTACCACTAAAATAGAAAACAAAGGACAATTGGCATAAGCACACATTAAAAATTAAAATCTAGCTGAGACTATAAGAGCGAAAAGGCCCTTATTTTAATGAGAGCTAACCAAAGAATCTTTAACATCCATTTACAAAAGCAAGCCATTGGTAATCTTTGGCAAGGTGCTCCTGAATATATCCTCATGCCAGCAAACATCTCAAACTAACTGAATCTCTTTCTTGGATCACAAAACTATTCACTTAATTTCCTGCCAAGCAAAATAGGGGAAAATGCATGCTTTACACTTTGAGACAAAATGCCTTGCTAAGTCTTTACTTAATTGTATGGGGTTGTGCAATAAATCCCCACGTGTTAACAACTTGTGGTCTATAATGCAGTCATCTATTTTCTTCCAGGAAATGGTATTACATTTTCTCTGTGTTCAGCAAGTTTAAAAGAAGAAAAAAGGCTGAGAGAGGAAGCTGAGAGCAGCTCTAAGCAAGGCTGAGAAAGGAGAGTAAGTTTGCACAGAAACATGTGACCTATAGTTTTGGCTTAAATTTCACTTGTAGAATTCATGATCTAGAAGCAATTTCTCCTATACATAATATATACTGGAAAGTATATACATAATATATACTGGAAAAATGTCAATCTATCCAGTATATCTCCAACTATTCAAAGAATACTTTAAAACAAAAATTCTTAATTGTCTTACAATAAATTGCCATATTCTATCTCATGTAACTGACCAGTGTGGGTAAAATTTAACCTCCAATGTGATGTTCATTGACCATATCATGAGTTATTCAAATAATGGAGCAGGTGACAAATTCAAATCTTAGCAAGTACTCACTTTTACAGTTTCTTCTGTGTTAAGTTTATTTCCCTTAATCAAGACAATTTGGAAAGGGTTGTTATTTTCCCAAACATGCTGCAAAACAATGAAATAAAGTATTTTAATGAAAGAAATGAATATTTTATGGTAGCAATGAAATCATCTTATCAGTTCTCATGTCCATTGGCAAAATAATGAAAACACACCTCTGAACTAACAACTGAAAATCACATATATTAAATTAAGCATCATAACCACTAGCACTTAGTTCTCATGGCAAAACACAAGCAACATTCCAATACTGCTAAGAGACTCAAGAAATTAAACACCATAAACAAAACAGTATTAAAAGCTTTGGCTAAATTAAGAATTGATCACAAATTAATTTACGAATAATATCTTAATCAACAGGGAGTGGTTAAATATACAATTTGTTAAGATTCAATAACTATTTAAAAAATGTTAACAGTTTCAACGAACACAAACTTAAGATTTACTTTATACAACTATATTACATTCTGGAAAAAATGGTACCTTTGAGACATTTAAAGTCTAAAAGTATTCAATAAGAAGACAGGCAAATTATACCAAAAACACTATCACAGCTAAGCTGATAAAAATGAAATATACTGGTAAATCAACTATTTCTGCATATCTAACTTTTCTACTACAATGTCTCAAATTGCTCACTGAAGTCCTATTTAGCTTTGATCTCAAAAAACCTCTAATTTAATGGCATTTTTCTTTGGCACCAAAAGAACACCAAAAATAAAAATGGTATATTTACATTTATACGTAGCTTGAGTAAGGAAAAAGAACAGTAGCTAGAAAAATAATTATTAATAAATGATGATGGATCTTTGGCAAATATGCATCGGTTTCCACAGAAGGAGAAGTGAGCAAAGAAAATCCACATGAGGCTTAAGCATACAACCTAACAAAATCACATGCCTTTTGGGGTTACCAAAGGTTCACACATGAAACTTACAGAAATAATTCGCGTTTTCTTTGGTGGTAAAGGAAGGGGAAGGTTAGATGAATTTCGATTTATGGCAGCCTCTATGGCAATCATTTCCTGTTCATACATCTTTTTGATCTTGCAACATTCCACAAGTATAAAATGGGGCAAGGTCCTGTTCATTACACAGTTCCGGATATACTACAGTGGCAAGAAAGAATAAGGTAAGGATTTTCAAGCAAATACTTAAATCAATATTAGAATAAAATTAAGCTGAACACTATACCAAATGCACTGTGAAAGGATATCTTAACTCGATGTCAATAATATGAAAAATTAAAATCACAACATAAAATAGCTACCATTAATTGAACACCTAAGTATCTAAGAACTGAGTTATACATTTCTTATATGTTACAGCTTATCTTCATAACAATTCTATAAGATAGATTATCCCCCATTTAATAGATAAAAGAACTGAAAATCAGAGGGGTTCAGCTACACACCTAGTATCTTTAAAACCTGGATTTAAATCCACCTGACTTTTTTGTTTGTTTGTTTTCTAAACCTTGAAGAAATATGTGCCTCAGTCTAAATGTTTTGTCTTCCCTTTTCTGCACTTAAGACCTGACAGTTTGACCAATCAGCGGCCCTTTCCACGGGGAAAACTTGATCATCATAGACTGTGATGTCACAGTGTAAGCTTTAACCAATCAGTCAGGAAAGGTGAACATGTAGTACACATGTGGCCATTTCTTAAGTCCTGAGGTAGGCAACTCACACTTTCCCATGAATCCCTGAAGTAAACCTGGTACCTTTTCAGCACAGGACTCTAGGCAACCATTACTGTCTCCACAGAAAAAAAACCTCCTGGCCATCCCAGCCTGATGTTCTCTTTTATTTCCACGAAACCAAGATGACTCCCCAGAGGCATATAAGAAAAGGGGTGGTTATTTACATTACCAAAGATTCCTAACAAACTGAATAGAGGAATCCAATGTATTCCTCAGAAGAATAAATTTTCTAAACAGACATAAAGTGTGGTTCAATGTACTGTATTCAATTCAGAATCACCAAAAATACATTTTTTTGAAATAAAAAAAATATCCACAATGGCCTATAAGTGGGAGTTACATGACATTATGATAAATATATTCATTCAAAAACTTTTCACTATGAAAAATGTATCTTTCCATTTCCTTCACATTCCTTTGCCTACGTCATGTATTTTCTATCTCACATGACCTTGTACAAAAATGCACACATATCTTCATTTTAGTTTACAATGACAAATTCTAGTTTTCGGCAAAACAATATACCTTCCCTTTATCAAGTTAAAAAACAAAAGTGTTAAATTAAGAAGCAGGAGGCTACTTTAAAAATGGCACAACATGAAAGGAAGAAGTCAGTACTTCTACGCTACCACCAAGCACTTTTCATCTTCCTTCTTCCTTTCCTGGGCTAGAGTTCACGAACTTACTATAGAATGCCAAAGCTGTGCACAAAAGTTGTAACTGCTACTCGACTTTCTATCTAGTAAACCACAAGAATTAAGGGCCACACCAAAAATCTTTTCAGATTTCTTTTCAGAAAAGTATAAAGTCCCGTTACCTGCTAATAAATCACAGCTCCTTATTCTCAAACAGACATCACTTAATATTTGGCATGCCTATATCCCTCTCGCTTCAAACAAAACAACAAAAATTACGAATAACAGTGATCACATATTTTTCTAAACTCCTGCTATTTACCTAACTATTTATGTAACTTGGCACTTCGCCTATTATTCTTTATGTAATGACCATTTTTCAGTCTCCAAATGTAATTTCAACAAATTATCTTCAAGTTCCTTGAAGGCAAAACCAGGATCCTATTCTTAAATAGCATACCTTACAGTGGGAGAAGGAGTGCTACACTGCACATATCTTGTTTAAACTCTTCTTTACTCCAAAAATAATTCAGTGACTTGCATAAAGCATATACTCAAAGAATTCATGACTAAATGAAAATAAATATATCAAAGACTAAGGAAGGCTTTTGAGGATGGTCAAACCTAACGCTTACAAAATTCTTACCACATATGGAAGTAACAAAAAAAGGGTGGAAGGGAGATTACATACATAAATATTAGACTTAAATCGAAAAGTTCTCTAATTCACAATGAAAATTTATATTATTTTACCTAGTTAACTAATAATCACAAATAAGTTTTTATACAATTCAATTAATGACCATTTAACCAAAATATTTTACATTTTACTTCCCCCAGAATATTCATATCTAAATCATTATGTCTATATGATGACATAGTAGGCAGCTATAACAAATTGTATTAAGAATTCACGGGGGGCTGGCCCCGTGGCTTAGTGGTTGGGTGCGCGCGCTCTGCTACTGGCGGCCCGGGTTCAGATCCCGGGCGCGCACCGACGCACCGCTTCTCCAGCCATGCTAAGGCTGCGTCCCACATACAGCAACTAGAACGATGTGCAACTATGACATACAACTATCTACTGGGGCCTTGGGGGAAAAAAAAAGGAGGATTGGCAATAGATGTTAGCTCAGAGCTGGTCTTCCTCAGCAAAAAGAGGAGGATTAGCATGGATGTTAGCTCAGGGCTGATCTTCCTCACACACACACACACACACACACACACACACACACACACAAAAGAATTCATGGGGCCAGCCCGGTGGCACAAGTGGTTAAGTGCGTGCGCTCCGCTGTGGCGGCCCGGGGTTCACCAGTTTGGATCCCGGGCGTGCACCAATGCACTGCTTGGCAGGCCATGCTGTGGCGGCGTCCCATATAAAGTGGAGGGAGATGGGCACGGATGTTAGCCCAGAGCCAGTCTTCCTCAGCAAAAAAACAAGGAGGATTGGCAGATGTTAGCACAGGGCTGATCTCTTCACACACAAGAAAAGAATTCATACTGCTATAGGAAATTATGCTATAACACTGAAACAATCAAAAGAGAAGAATGCAAACATTACTAATCAATACACATGAACATATATAATCATTACACCAAAAATATATATCACTGCAAGTAAAATAACAAAAACATGCCAAAATATTGACAATGGTTATCCCAGAGGTAGGTACGATTATGAATATGTATTATTAATTCTGTATAATTTTCTGTAGGTTCCAAATATTCTACTGTGGCAATACATTTTTTTGATCAGAATTTCAGATTGTTAAATACACACACACCTCCCTGGTGAATTGACAGTTAATACGCATACCTGGAACTGAATTAGTGGGTGATCACCAAACACGTATTCTACTCTTCCACTGACTTGTAACACATAATCATAAGGGCTAACTTCATCTTCTTTCCCATGAATAGTCAAACGTTTTTGGATTGCCAATTCATTTATTTTGATAGGATTCATATTAGGAGATACTTGAAAGCTAAACACATCCTAAATAGAGGAGTAGAAAAAAGGAGCAATTTTATATTTGTGCTGAAAAAAATCACGCTTTATATTCATACTTATTACTACATTATATACATCCCTATATAATATTCATACATATATATCCTTTATGTTTAATATTCCAGTAAGTTTTCCTATTTTCTAAATATAATATGTCCATGTCATATTTGTTAAGATTTCTGATTATTAGCAAGTCATCTTACCCTATACGGAGTACCACAGCTCCCACAGGTCAGATTAACATTTAACTAAAGTTTACTATTATTTAACTAAACTTTATCATCAGGTTTACCATCAAGTTTATCACGTGCATTTCCCAGTGAATATCTTTCTTTAAAAAAGTTACAAAAATACCTGTAGTTGATCAAATTTAGTCCATTTTAAGAAAAGAATTATAGATTGTCACTCATAAGAAGAGATCTATACTTTTTTACCATTTGAACCATAAATTAACAATTCTGTCCAATTTTACAAACATGTAAAAAGAAACATACAACTTTTAATGAAAAATGAAGATATAGTAGAAATAGAATATTATTAAGTCTGTTCACCGTAAGTCTGAAAGGTACAGATAGTAAAAGTTATTTAATAATAGCTGAATCCTGATATAATCTAGCAAAAAAATTTCCCACCATATGATCATATATCAAAGATATAAGAAAGCTCACTATCTCCCAAGGCAGCCAGCTGCTATTCTGGACAACTGTGATTGCTAGAAAATTCTCTATACTGACCTGAAATTGATTTTGCAATATTTTCTACCAAATTAATTTAAGTGATCTCCCACAAAGTATCTCAAATTCAAACTTTTAAAAGCTAAACTTACTGAGTGTTCCAATCTATTTTCTCTAATATTTTTACTCTTTTTCTCCCATATTTTCTCTGAGTGGTGCCGTATGCATCAAAGTACACAAGCTAGGATCCACGGAGTCATTTGAGAAGTCTTTGACTCCCCTTTTCTCCCCCAACTCACTTCCCAATAAGATACCAATGATCTTATATCCTAATGGGCTGCCAGCTGTTACCTTCTCCCCATCTCCTGTAACACTCTTCAACTTCAGTGGTTCTTTACATCTCTTAAAGTGCAACATAGCTTCTAATTCGATCTCCCTACCTCTTGTACTATGCACCTCAAAACTAACTTTCACCCAGCTTAGAAAGTAAACTAACTTTCACCCAGCTTAGAAAGTAATCTATCTTTAAAAGGAGAGCCAAAAAGAGATGTGATACTCTTTTTTAACATAATACAAATGGTCACAACTGTCTAATGCAGTGCTACCCAATACAACTATCTTTAATAATGGAAATACTCTATTCTGCGCTTCCAATACAATAGCCACTAGCCACAAGTGGCTCTTGAGAACTTGATATGTGTTTAGTGCAAAGAACTGAATTTTTAATTTTACTTAATTTAAATTTAAAATTAAATACACTCATGTAGCTAGTGGCTACTGTATTAAATAGCACAGATCTGAAAGATAAAGAGCCCAAGCTCCTTACTATATCATAAAATTATTCTATGATCCCCATATACATGCTATTTCACACATAAACTCTTCAGAAATACAAAACTAGAAGACACTCTCATCATCAGATAGCAAGACCCTGCAGAAAGCAAAGAAAACAGAACTGAGCCTGAAAAACTGCAGATACCGGAATTAATTATCAGAAAATAAAAGAAGTATGGTCAATGTGTTTCAAGTTCTAAGAGCAGCTTGAAAATGAATAAAGAGCAAGTACTTCTGAAGAAGAATCAAAGAGGGGGAACTCCAAGTAATAAAACGTGTTATGTGAGATTTAAAATTCACTGAAAAGGAAAAGGACAAATTTAAAAAGATTGACAATATCAAGTGTTAGCAAAAACGTGGAGAAACCAAACTCTCAAAATACTACTGGTAGGAATGCAAACTTGAAAAACTATTTGGCAGTATCTATTAAAAACTTATTTTACACATACACTTGACTCATTAATTCTGTTCCTAGGTATATACCCAACAGAAATACATAAATCAGGGTTCGGCCGCTGTGGCTTAGCAGTTAAGTGCGCGCACTCTGCTACTGACGGCCTGGGTTTGGATCCCGGGCACACACTGACGCACCACTTCTCTGGCCCTGCTGAGGCCGCATCCCACATACAGCAACGAGAAGGATGTGCAACTATGACATACAACTATCCACTGGGGCTTTGGGGAGAAAAAAGGAGGAGGATTGGCAATAGATGTTAGCTCAGAGCCG